ATACCTGAGAGATGAGAGAAGGAAAGATAAAAGGCCAAAGAAAACATGGAGAGTGTAAAAATAACAAATTCCAGCAGAAACAAGTACCTTTTTTTGCAAGAAAGGTGGATGCTTATTCCATCTCTGTTGAGAGAAGATGGACCAGAATCTGAAGCTCCGAAGGTAGGGAGATGATATGTAGTGAAGGAACCTCAGGAATCGAATAATATTAATAAGTCAGCAACAAAGAAGGCATCAATTAAGTACATTGTTGGGAGGTCCACATGATGTGTACGTGGTTGCTCAAGATGTCATAACCAGTACAACTAAAAACCGTAAACTATTAATCAACTTGCTGTTGGAGAAACTTTTAAAATAAAGAAAAGAAGACAATCAGACGATGGTTAGAAAATGGCACAAATAAAAAGATGTATTTTTATGTTAAAACTCTTTAAATAGAAGGGCATATCTGTAAAGAGGCGTTTCTTAATAAAAAAACACTTATTATTTGTAAACAGCCTTGTTTTCATCCTTCTAAAAAAGAGAGTCCTATCTATAGAAAAATAAAATCCTAACGGAGAGTAGATAGATTTCAATATGAAACAACACCCTGCTGTTATTAGAATAAAATTAATAGTCCTCTTTTGTCCAATGAATATTACAAAAATTCTTGTATGAAAATGATAGTTTTACTAATTAAAATCGTGAGATTTAGTGGTTGGTTTCATCAATGTAAAGCATAATCAATATAATTTTATTGTATCATGTAGGCATTTTTAGTTAACTCCCTTTGCATACCAAAATAGTGGGAGTAAAAATAATCTAAAGGAAAGTAACATTTGCAACACACTTTGAGGCCAACGATCTATTTTCTAATCCCAAGACTCCAACACTTGCAAGGTTAGTTAGCCTTTTGAACAATTTGATATAATCAATTACATGTGGCTGACAGCGGCTTAACATAGATTTTAAAGAATAGGTGAATGAAGAAGCCTTGGTATAAACTAGTCTGGTTCTCAGACACTATACCTAAGCATAGTTTTATAAGTTGGCTTGCTATTATTGACATATAAACTACAAAGGCTTGCCAGAAAAAAATAGACTCCCAGTATTATTGACACTATATATTATTTGTGGATGGAGAGGAATAGAAGGATTCACAAGCAGTTGTTCAAGACCCAAGCAGCTATAGTTGCTGACATCCAGTTTGAAGTCAGGAGCAAGATTCTTGGTTTTGCCTGTGCAAGGTCTTCCTCCAAACAATGTGAGAATTAATTGTGGGCACACATGTTTGATAGTCCGTTTTTTACAGTTTATTTTCTGTAGCAGCATCATTGGCTGCATTGATGTACTCTTAATTCTCTTGGATAAATAAAGTCGGATGCATTCCAGATAGAAATATCCTCAAGAAATATCAAAATTTAGAGAGGATGTTAAATAACAAATACAAGCAGGTATTTCAGATGGTTTTAAGGTATGAAATCGTTGAGAAATAGGAAGAGAAGCTTCAAGCTTCATTTATATAGCTTCTGCCAAATTTTGCATGAATGAAACAAATTAGCATCAAGTAAGCTGCTTGACTTCATCCCTTGCATGCATGCTGCATCCCATAATGTGGGCAATCTAAACATGTTACAGATGAATGTGTTATAAAAATTTTTGTAAGGAAGCAAAATAGCATAAATCACAGACTTTGTTACTCCTGTTAAGGAAAGTGCTACTTGATATGATTCTCTCATTATTAGAGGAATATATAATCTTTGATTATCTTTGATTATGGACTGTGTAAATAGAAACTAGTTCTCTCTGTTTCCTTTCTTATGTATCTTGGCCAATACTCTACTGCTGTATATATATATATGATCAATTGTTAATAAAATTATTATTCAATTCTGCCATTCACCTTGTTTTATTAACTCCTTACTCGCAAACAATGTTTATATTTAAATGATATTTATTTATTTATTTTATCATATATGCTTTTACTTGTTTGAGATTCCAAGATCATCATAAAGCAGTACAAAGGAAAAAACATTAACTTTCCGACAATCTGATCAGAATTCTGATTCTTCCAATCGAGAGAAAAAGAGACCCGAAGGGCCACCATTTGGCAGCAATGCCAATCTCACCGGACCTTGAGCACCTTCGTCAACAGTCAAGACTCCAGTATTATAGGTTATATCAGTTTTGACATAGCCAGGGCACACACAATTAATGCAGAGACTGGGGTGTTTCTTAGCCAAAATCCTTGTATAGGCATTCATGACAGCTTTGGAGAGCATATAGGCAGTCATAGAATCAGGCCATCCTCCAGCTTCTAGTGATCCCTCTTTAAAATCTGTCAGATATTTGTTCAACACTTCACCCACTCTCTCTTCTGTAAGGTTGTCAGCATCACTTAAGATTGCTTTTGCCCATTCGTTTGACACATTCTGAAATAGAATCATGAAATGAACTTAATAGCTGTCAAGTGATTTAAGTCATGCTTGGAAAAAATGATAGCAAAAAACTTTTACCTTTAACTTTCCCAGGGAGGAAGAAACATTTACAATTCTTGGTGAATCAGATAACTGGAGGAGGGGAGGAGGGGAATAAATGTTTCAGACATCCTTTTGGCACCAAAGTAGTTTGTTTTGAGGCATTCTTCGGCCAACTCGAATGTTTGAGTTAGTATTTCACTCCAGTTGATATATTCATCCGCCTGATACTGAATTTTTTTTTTAAAGGCAAAAGAATATTAATATATTTATTTGATGAGTACAAGGGGTACTCAAACCCGTGTATACAAAAACCAACTCGTTGCTTAAAAAACCAGCAACACTAAAGCAGCGAGGGTAGAACACCCAACAAAGAAAATAAAACCAATGTTCCAAGAAGACTAGTTAAAACAAAAAGACCAGTTCAAGCACTATCTTTCCGGACGGGGTTATTCTTAAGACATTTGGTTGGATTCTCGCACCATTCAGATAAAGAGAACCCTTCCATACCTTGAATGTTCGTTACCCAGAAGAAAGATCGAATTTGAACTAGCTCAAAGAATCTGTCGAGCTTTGTCTCCTTCATCTGGAAAATCTTTTCGTTCCTGCCCAGCCACAGTGTCCATATTACTGCGAACCAGATAATGTTCCATCCCCTATCAAGTATTTTCGGACCTCCAAACCATTTATGTTGCTCAAAAAACATTAAACATGAATTATCCAGTACATATTGCACGCCCCACCACTTGTAGCATTTCATCCATAAGCTAAAGGCCACATTGCATTGAGCAAAAATATGATCGGTCGTCTCCATTGAAGAATCACACCAGCAGCAATTTAAATTAGAGTTTGCATTACAAATTCCTCGGATTGAAAGGTTATCTTTTGTAGGGATTTTCTTGTGAAGCAATTGCCAGCAAAATGCACTTACTTTAGGTGGAATGGGGGCTTTCCACACCCTTATGAAGTCAGTTGCTGGCTTTGGTTCTCCCTTAAGGATCCATGAGTAAGCTGATTTTGTTGTGTAGGTCCCTGAAGTTTCCAGGTGCCATTGCCATCGATCTTCCTTGTTTTGTGATGGAGCTCTTAATTTCAGCATATTAACCAACTCTTTTTCAGCGTCTTCCTCCCATGAACGAAGTGGGCGTTTCCAGGAGAATTTCCATTGCCAGCCATTCTTCAACCAGGATCCCATATCTTTGACACTGCAATTCTGATCTGTAGCTAGTAGGAATAAACGAGGGAATTTGTTAGATAGAGCATACCCTTCTACCCACACATCAGTCCAGAACTTAACC